GCTTCTCTCAATGTACTTGATATGTGGCTGTTAATACAGCCCAGGATACTCTTGGCTTTCTGGACTCCCTGGATACACTGCAGGCTCAGGTTCAGCTTGCTGTCTAACATGACTCCCAGATCCTTCTCAGTAGACCTCCTCCCAAGCCAGTCTATTCTCAGCCTGTATTATTTCAAGGGGGGGGTGTCTTCCTTCCCAGCTGCAGGGCTTAACATCTGTCCTTGCTGTGTCCATTAGGTTCCTGATGGCCCATTGCTCCAGCCCACCTAGGTCCTTCTGACTAGCAGTCCTGTCTTGAGAAGATCCACTGCTCCCTGCAATTTAGTTTCACCCTCAAACCTGATGGCAGTTGCTTATCCTGCTTAAAACACTTGCCTCCAGGTTGGTGTTTTCATTATTTTGCTTTAAATTAAGTTTTATTCTTGATTTTCATCCTGAGTTCTCAGTGTCTTTGACTAAACTGGATATTTATAAAAAGCATTATATTAAAGCAAACTCCCATTCCATCTTGTAGTTTGTTCATGATATATGCAGTTACTGCTCACTCACCTTTAAATAGCTTTTCCAGTCACAGCGAGCTGAATTTTGTGAGTCCTGAAATAAATCAATTGCAAACAACTGCACCCCACAGCCTGGAGCCTTGTCATCAGTGATATTAATGATACTATTTCCTCTGAGTTCCTTGTTGCTCTTTAGCAGTGCTGCCTTCCCTCATCTTCATGTGGCTGAAGTTCTTCCCATAACTTCATTGTTGATTCTCAGTAGTGGTGGTTCTTATATCTCTCTGTAACTTTAGAACTGATAATTATAACAACCTCATTTTAGTCCAACATGCATATCCTATTGATGCATGTATTGTCCTTATAAAGTTATTTTAAAAATCTGGTTGTTGCCAGATAAAGAATTAACCATCAGAGCTGAAATCTATGAACTCAAAACATGCAAAGTTCAAAGCCACCCTAGTTTAGAGATTAGTTTGGTGATTTTAGCCTGTGTGATTTCTACCTGAATTTTTTCATACCCACCCTCTTAAAAAGCATTCTGCTGTCTGAGCTTAAGTGCTTTGTGAATGGCACTGAAGATTCAATTCATTTAATGCCATACATTTAATTAGGAACATGCAATTTCTACTAACCTATAGTCTTAGACTCCTCACTTGCAGCTTGGAGCCTCAACACAGTTCTTTATTCTGCACCGTTCCATGATCTCTGATGCCTCGGTGAGGTTTCAGAATCACACCTCCCTGCTGTTGCTCCATTTATCTCTGCAAATTAGAGGTCCCATTGCCAATAAAGAAGAATGTGTTCCATGGTATCTTCTCAGCTACTCTGCATCTTGATGTACATTGGAGTAGCCATTTTTAAATGATAGTTTATATACCAAGCTATGAACAAGATGGGGTGCTCTCCTTTTGGGACTGACATCCTATTCTGCTGTCTTTGTTAGAGGGTTAGTAACCTTGTCCAGAGATAGGGGTATAGAAAATGGACGAGCTGGAAGAATGAGTTTATTAATTTAGCATTATACAAATTTCCAAAATTGTAAAGCAGGGCCTTGAGTTTTACTGGTGAATTGATATTGTGCTATCCTGTATACCATGATATTAACAGAAGAACAGTGATGCCAATTTTCTGGCTTTAGGCTTCAGAAAAAGCTAACAATGTACCATACAAAAGCTGAATGAAAGAAATTGACATGAGTTTTTAAGATTTAAAACAGCTTTTACAGTTAAGATCTTTCACAGTCCTTCATATTGCTGGAAAAACTCAAAAGATATATGTTATAAAAAAAACCTTTGGAAGAGGAGACAATGTAGCTGAAGCTTGACTCTAATCTAATTTAGATTTTGTGAGTAGGACATGGAAAAAAATTGTTTTAGCAAGAACTAGTTCCTTCATCATGTTTTAATAAGGGAAGTGAATGTTTTTTCTCTGTCTGTGTGTGTGCATGTGGGAGGCACAACAGCATAAGTAAATCCCTGTATCCCTAGCCCTAGAATATTTAATGTAGCTTTCACTCTTTTGGACATATTTGACTTCTGGACTGTCCCATTTTTAAGTTCATGATAAGGACATTAAAATAAACAAATTACAAAGATATGAGAGAGGCAGTGCAAGCTATAGCTCCCAGCCAATCCACGAGTTCTTTTGCCTCCTTCTTTAATCCAGGTCTGCCAATATAGCAATATAAGATTTCAAGAAAAGAGGATTTTTTTTCCTGAGAAACAAAATTTACTAGCATTCTGTATTATGTAATGTACTGAGAATGCAAAATGTCTGGGTAGACTGATAAGTCACCTTTTGACTTACAAAAAAAAGTATATTCCCATTGATTACTAAAGCAGTGTTGTTTAAGGATAATGGTGTAATGGATACAAATTCATCCCATAATTCTTTAACCTCAGTAAATACATTGCAAATGTTTAGTGTCTATTGTGGCAACATAAAGCAGAAGTCTTAATTAGTCTGAATAAAACAAATACATAGGAGAGTTTTGAACTATGTTTCCAATTTCAGAAAAAAAAAAGCCTCGTAGATTTGCCTTATTACTTTTTTTTTCACATCTTGAATCAGACATGAACAAATGTGTTTGCATGTGTGAGTATTTTCCTCAAAGCACTGAGAAGAATGTTGTGTGAGAATTATCTTTTCCCTTCACAGTCATGCTGCTATTTGGTCACATTTCAATCCACCGAAAGGAAAAAAAATAGAAGGTAGGGGAATTGAAAGCACAACAGAACTGCTCAAATTATTTCAAACTTGAATGGTGCTGCAACTCTTAACAGAAGGCAGAGCTCAGTTGTGTTTATGGAATGGTTCCACATTTCTGAGAAAAAAAAAGCAAGCTAATAAAAATTTTAAAAAGCAATTACACTAACAAGCTAACAAAAGATTTATTATTTATATTTATTTTTATTTCTGTCTTTTTCTAGTAAACTTGTGCCTTCTCCAAATCATGGTGGCAAATTTCCAGCAAGTAGGCTCCTTCTCTCCTTTCTTGCCTTCATGTTTCACTTTCCTAAATTGCTCCTTAAATATTTAAATTAAGGTCATCTTGCTTTTTGACTCATTGATTGTAGTGACATTGTTCCTTATGTTCAGAAAGTGATAAGGAGTGGTCAGGTTTCAAGTCACACTGACTTTGTTATTTTAAGTGCTGAAATAGAGGAAAGTCTGCTTTATTAGACCTCTGAGTTACTTTTCTGTCTGAAATAACCTTGTCAGGAGTTGGTGTTTCTTGCTAAACAAAAGGCTGTATTTGACTGCTGAAAAATCTGCCAGAACAGTAATACAGAGGAAGATGCTGATATTTTACCAACTAAGAAAGCATACACATAATTTGGGGCTCATTAATCCTCATCAAGTCACATCTAAGAAATTTCCTGCTCCAGCTCCCCCTTCATGTACTTCAAGTATCAGTTAACAGTTTAAGTCTATTTTGTGGCTGCTAGAGTCTTCCAAAGACCTAAACTGAGATAGACATCCTTTTAAATGCAAATTATTAATTTTCTTCTCCCACTTTTGCATAGTAGAAGCACGGGAATACCTTACACCCTGAGAAATTACAGCAGTTTGTATAGAAGTTGATTGTGAGGAATAAGTGCCTGTCAGGTTCAGCCCATTTCAAGGAGATTCTGCTGCCTTTTTGGTGTTTCTAAGATGAGATATATTTCCTTCCAGTTTCTTCAGTGATTGATAGCATTGGAATAATGATAACGGGAATATTCCCCAAGTCTATATTTCTATTCAGTATTGGTACAATTGCCAAATAAAACCAGTCATAGAAGCACAGAATCATAGAATGGTTTGGGTTAGAAGGGACCTCAAAGATCATCTAGTTCCAACCCCCTGCCATTGGCAGGGACAACTTCCACTAGACCAGATTACATAAAGCCCCATCCAGCCCCACCTTGAACACTTCCTGGGATGATGCATCCACAATTTCTTTGGACAAACAGTTCCAGTGCCTCACCAACTTCACAGTAAATAATTTCTTCCTAATATCTAACCTAAACCTGCCCTCTTTCAGCTTGAAGCCATTACTCTTTATCCTATCACTACATCCCTTACAAAAAGTCCCTCTCCAGTTTTTTGTAGGCCCCTTTTAGGTACTGGAGGGCTTCTCTAAGGTCTTCTCAGAACCTTCTCTTTTGCAGACTAACAACCCCACTCTGTCAGCCTGTCTTCATAGGAGAAGTGTTCTAGTCCTCTGAGCATCTTTGTGCCCCTCCTCTAGATGTGCTCCAACAGTTCCACATCCTTCCTGTGCTGGGGGTCCCATAGTTGGATGCAACACCTGAGTTTGGCTCTCATGGGAGCAGAGTGGATGGGGAGAATCACCTATCTTGACCTGCTGGTCTTGCTTCTTTTGATGCAGCCTAGGACAGGTTGGCTTTCCGAACTGCAAGTGCACATTGCTGGATCATGTTGAGTTTCTTGTCAACCAACACCCCCAAGGCCTTCACCTCAGGGTTGCTCTGAATCCATTCTCTGGCCATCCCATGTCTGTGCTCAGGAGTGCCTCAACCAAGATACAGCACTGTCCACTTGGCCTTGTTGAATTTCATGAGGTTTGCACTGGCCCATCTGTCAAGCCTGACAAGGTCCTTCTGGATGGCATCCCTTCCCTCCAGCGTGTCAACCACACCACACAGCTTGGTGTCATCAGCAAACTTACTGAGGGTGCACTCAATCCCATTGTCTGCGTCATCAGACGTTAAAAAGTGCCAGTCCCCTGAGGAACACCACTTGTCACTGCTCTCCACTTGTACATTTTATGACTGGTATTGAATTGCTGCTTGCATATCCAGTATATAAATTGGACTACTGAGATAATCCTACTGAGTTTTGAATGTCCAGAATCACATGAGATCAGTTTTAACTGTCACTGTTTTGCATGTAGAAATAGATATTGTATTGATCTGCATAGCATGATCTATTGTTTTTTTTAAGAATAGATATTTCCATTGTTATGGCAATACTGCTGAACAAGTGGTGAAGTCAGTAGGATTCATAAATTGCTGGCATTTCATGTCTGTTTATTACTCTGAATGTATTATGAGGCTAGATGGCTTGCAGTGCCTGGCAGTGAGAGAGCTCTGTGTACGCTGGAGGTCCCTTACGTGCCAATAATGGAGCTGCAGTTCTGAGAAGTATTAGGGTATATCCTTATCCAGAAATACTTCTTACAGTGCTCACTGAAGGCAATGAGAAAGACGGATCCAGAGGAGACTTGAACACTTGCATAAACTGTGGTTGCTCAGACTGCTCTGCAATCATGCTTATAGATGGTCCAGAAAAAAAAGAAAAAAGTATTGGATAACTGGAATTGGATTCTGTTGTCCATTTTTTGGCAATTGTGAAGTCAGCCACCAAAATCTTTGCTGGGTCATTCTGTTTTCAGTGAGTTACTACTGCAATTATCTTGCACTGCTAACTTGTGCTTAGAATATTTAAACACTGGAAGTGTGAAAGCACTTTATGCACACAGAAATCACTGAGTTCTCCACTGGAATAAAGTTGTTTCTGAGTGAAATGGGAAGCTGCTGTGTAAGGACAGTCTTTATACATGTTTGATCTGAGTAAGTAATGAACATGTCGCTGGCTGAGTCTGTAGAAAAATGGGGGTCTAGTATTTTCCTGCTTTGGCAAAGACCTCTGTTCTGGCATGAAACAGTGCATAAATTTACGTCTGTCTCAGAGTTGGAGTGAATCACGCACAACACTCCCTACAGTCCCTCGGGTCTTCCTTGGAGACTTTGACAGTGTTTCTTTTGTGAAATTAAGTAAGTCGTTGCAGCCCCAGGAGATGGTAACAGCCATGTATTACACCTTCTGGAATGATTTGGAGAACTTTCTATCACCCAGGTATGGAAAAAGTCTTACACATCATAAACTCGCCTATGTTTTGTTGGTTATCTGTGTTATATAGGAAGGATTTCTCTCAGTGTCACACATGCACCTATGCTCCCCCAAATTCCAAAAAATATGCCATCCAGCAGTATCTAAACACCTGCTGTTCAAAGGCAAAACCAATAAATACTAGCTGTGCATTACAGCATGCTGTAAGGTTTTCCCATCCTGGGATGCTGTTAAGTCTCCATCTGTACCACAGGTTGGACATGTTTTGTGGCAAGGTGCCTGACTAAGGCTATATTCAGAATTGTGGTAGTAAATGGTGCACATAAACCTGAAGAAAAAAAAAAGAAAAAAAAAAAGAAAAAAAAAAATAGAATACTCCTGAAATTTCTTTAAATACAGCAGGATGTAAGGAAAAGAATGGGTCTTTTTTCCATAGAATAAAATTTTGACATAACATCCTTTCTAAAGTTAAGTCATAACAAACTCATTTGGACACCTACTGGAAAGTATTATATTTTCATATGCTCATGAATGTGGAAAACAGCGATCTGGAAACTTTGACAATAGTAGCTACCATCTCCATGTATATTTTTCTGCTCTGTATGGACTTTTTCAATGCCTACTAAAGTAAATGGAAAGATAGGAATCTTGATTCCAGTGCTGTTGGACTCACTCTTCTGCATATCATTCAAGGGGTTATTTCGTCATCTGTCTGCTTCATCATCTGATATTCTCACTTTTTTGTATATGTAGATAAAGAGATTCCTAAAGCCAATATTTCACTCCAGCTGGTATGATTAGGTGATTCTCGATTTTGTCTTATCACAAGTACTTGAAATTATCATCTTCAGTGCAGTAGTGAGCAAGAAAGAAAAAAAGAAAAAAGTAGTGTGTTTCTCACAATGAAAGAGGAAGATATTTTTAACAGTGAAGGAAGAGCTTTTCTTCTCCACATGCAGTCAGCTTGCTGACTGTGAACAGGATGATGTGAGGGTTGTTTTTTAAGCATCTTCCCTCTGCTTAATTTGCTGTTGTAACCATTGTTTTCTTCATTAGCTTAGTTTCATCTTGATAATTTGTTTTCTTTATTTTCTTTGCTATTACATTCTTGGCCATTAGAAAACCCGTTCCCTCCAAAAGTTCTTTGCCCAGTTTGTTTCCCATAACAACTATAATAATAGGGAAAAATATTCCTTTTAATAATTTAAGGGCCAAACTTCATCCTTTAGTACTTATATGCAGTCACCCCTTCAGTGGGATTTGCACTCATGTTACTGAAGCTGAAAATCTGGCCTTGTACATCACAGCCCAATCCTCCACATAGCTACAAGTAACTGTAATAAAATAAGACTTCATTTATGTTTCCAAACTGGGGGAATAATATAATTACTCATCTTCTAGTGTTTGCATACCTATCCTTCCTTCGCATCCTCTTGTGCTGGCTGATAGCTAATCTTTCCTTGCATCATGTGCTTGAGACTTGGTCTAACTAATACAGAAAGAGGAAAAAATATGTCAGTTATGACTTCTTGGCCTTTTAATATATCACAGATTTTGCTGTGGAGAAAAAAATTGCTTTAACACTACTGTTCATTCAACCAGCTCCTGTGGGAAGGGGCCTGGTGCACCCACCCATCCCTAGTGTTGGTCATCTAAGAGTTATTGCACTCAGAAGGTCAGCAGAGCATTGCTGGCTCCTATGATGTGGTCAGAGGAGAACTTATATGGCCATTGGGACAGATAAGTTGTGTTGAGTGTGATTGACCATGAGAGTGCTTTTCTTTTTTAATTTCTAACCTCTTGGCCCAAGCAATATACCTGCCTAAGAGTGCTGAGAGTATCTGGAGAGAAAGACAAGTCTTCATTAATTGCCCATAACTTTATATGACATTAATGGTGTGCAAAAAGGTTCGGTGATAGCTAGTGACAATGTCAAAGAAACCCTTCAGTCTGATTATCCCAGCTATTACAACCCTGCTAAAAAAATTGGAAACTGATCAACAGAAAAATGCATTGTTAAAAGCTGGAGAGACCAATCTTTCAAAAAGAGCCAAAACCACATATTAGGTAATACAATAGTAGCATTAATTTTTAGTTCTCCAATTACTTCATGCCTATGAAGGTTTCTAACATTAAGAGAATTTAGTCTAGATTCTGGGCTTATATTTTCAAGGTGAAATCACAGAAGATCTATTGGTTTTCACAGCCACTACCAACCTGACAACCTAACAGCACATTGGTTTGTATTTTGATTTATTAGGAAGCAGGCTTAATTGAACTTACTGGCTGGAATCTAAATAAGTCTTGCTGGATTTCTGCTTTGCACCTGCAGAAGCAGCTTTAGAGAGCTATTGCTCCCTGTAGATACTGTATACTGTCACTATAACCTCCTTGAGAAAAAAAAATCAAAAGCAAATTGTTGATAAATGAAGATAATTGCAGTACCAATGTACTTTGCTGTTACCGTTCACTGCTGAAATTCAAGGCAATGGTCTCAGTGGGGCTTATGGGATGGCTCAAAAAAGCATTCATCTGTGCAATGTTTTTCTTATTGTGCTGGGATAAAGTAATTTGTTGGGGGTTTTTTCTTTCAAAATATTGTCAGATTTATGGCTTAGAAATTGTTGTAATTTTATATTGGTTTATTTACTACAGAAAAAAAAGACTGAACTGAAGAAGAGTGGAAATATAATGACAATATTTCTTTCTTGCATAAGAAAAAGGTAAGATTTAGAGGACCATAATATGCAAGTACGTATTTATAGCATAATAATAACTATGAAGTAATTTGTTAAGTTTGCAAATACTGCAAGCTTTTGATTTAAACATATTCAGAGTGTCACAGTCTTGGCTGCCTAAAAACTGATGATTTAAAATTCACAATCCTTTCCAATTAGCTGGGACAATGAGTCCACTGTTTACACCACTCTACTGACCTGCATTAGAGAAGCAAGGTAGCTTTTCATTTTGTAGCAGAATATTAGGGTTGTAAGTATTTCAGGTTTCTTGACATACTATCTTCAGTTTGGATTTGTTGAAAGGAGGGTTCATTCTTTTTTTTTGCACCCAGTCCATTCCCTGGAAGATATAAATGCTCCAATTTTTCCTGGGATTTTTTTTTCTTTCATCCCAGGTACCCAGCTGTGAATGAAATAATGCTCCCCATATGTGTTCATTGTTCCCATTGCTGGTGTCTGTGCAACTCACTAGAGTTTTCCTAATAAGGTTGGGTCTGACCTTTCAGAAGTTCTCAAATGGGGAATCTAGCTGCACTCATCCTCAAAAGAGAAAGACTTCCCTGCCACTGCTCTTATAAACAGCTGTAAGAAACAGTAAAGCATACTTGTTCCAAAACTGAAGTCAGGCCTCAGAGCTGTGCAAGAGTGTGCAAGATGCAGGCAGCCATGGTCTGGCTGCTCCTTCCCAGAAGGGTGGTGCGCCAGATGGAGAGAGATCCTGCAGAAGGGGAGCAGACAGACTGACAGAGAAAGAGACTTCACAACAGAGAAAACTAAAGTCTAGAGAGAGGCCCTTTTGGCTGATGAGCTGGCTTAGGCACGAAAACAGTGTCTGATGGTTTTAGTGTCCCCATGTTTAAGGTGAGGGTTTCATGTTGCATATGCTGACTACTAGGGTGCTGATACCCAGTTGTCCTCCTTTCTTGTGACAGCACTGGGAGTAGTGTGACAACACAGGGACCCAGGTGATAGAGATGACCCATCTGAAAACTAATATTCTATGCTAGTTTGCTGTTATGGTTTTGGCTGGTATGATTGGTACTTGGACAGGTTAGTGTTCTCACCTGCATCCCCTCAGCCTCAGGAGTGTGTGTGCTGGCACATGCTGGAGAGACCCACTGCCAGGACAGTGTGGGCAGGTGATGTCTCTTCTGTTTATGACTAGTTTATGACTAGTCAAGGCTGAAACTATGTCTCATGTGAACAAAATATTTCCTGTGTTCATGAAAATAAATGAAGTAAAGCTCATTATTTCTGTCAGTGAAACTTTCTCCTGACTGGAGTCACCTATGAGATCATGAATCTTAATAGTAGCTCAGGTCAGAAGAGGAACAAGAAGCTATGAACCAGTTGGTTCTTATTAAAGGAAGAAGATGAGTGAGGAATTTATATTAATATAGTAGATACAGGTAGCTACCTTTCAGTTGCCTAAAGACAAAATGAAGTAGTTTGTGCTAATTTATATATTATTGCAATATTACCTCATTTTAGTAAAGAACAAATGAGTGAACAATTATGAAAGCCAAGACAGGTATCTCCAAAACTGAAGTTTCTATTAAAATATTGCAAACATTATCAGAAAATATCCTGACAAGTTATAGAACTTACTGATGGAAATTGAGATATTTGAATTGTCCTTTAGAATCTGTGGCTGGAGATGCAGACATTTTGTTAGTCACACAGTAAGGCTACACTTGAAGATATACAGTTCTATTAAATTTGGTAGAGCACTCCACAGGGAGTGCAAAAGGAAAGCACTTTCATTTGATTTTGACAGTTAAATAAAATATAGTTTATCATTTCTGTACAGTTATTTGATAATAGTAGAAGTTGCTCTTTTTGTTCTCACATAGAAGAACATCTACCATAAGTTATCTTGGATGTCTTATGACTCTGGAAAAGCAGGTACACATTGATAGGTACTTTAGTAATGAAAAAATGACAAGGAAATCAGGATCTTTAAAAATTAAGGTATGCTCTCCAGAGTTTCCATTATTTTAACTATGGCAGCTTGCTAACTTGTAAGTGGTGATTAGACATGGATAAACTTGGTTCTGCAGAGTGATTCAGCAAAGTAAATAGGAATTAATAAGTTTGGTTTTGCAAACAAATTCTAAATCCAGTATGAACAGAGCTTGTGTTGCAACTAAAATGTGTGATTCCTAGCAGTTATAAGTATTAATGTGTTCTCCCCTTTTTGCAGGTTTTGCCTATAATAAATTCACTGAGCAAGACATACAGACTTCTGTCCAATGCTATGAAAATTAACCAAGACATATTAACTTCAGGAAATCTTCAAAGGTACAAAAATAAAATGCTTATTCAGTAATTAATTAAACCAAATAAGCCATCAGCATGTGCTGCATAGCCTAAGTATTATGTCAGGTCAATAATTAAGCTGTAGTAAATCTTCTGGAGGTTCTATCCTGACAAACTTTAAAGGCTCAAGACTAACCCAAGGATCCTTAACGTTTTAGTGAGCCAGTAAATGATTACACAGATAGTTTCTCAATCCAATGTTTGGTACTATTAACTTTCAATTTTTTAAGGCATCCAGGAATTGTATGTTTTGTGGTTATTGAATAATATCCTGTGAACAAAATGTATGCTTTTCTTGAGTTTACAAAAAGGGATATTTTATAGGCTTCAGTTATGTCAAGATAAAAGTGTACTTTTCCTGCATGGAAGATATACATTAGGCAAAAAGTAATGGTTTAGAATTTTCCCTTGTTTATGTGAACATGATGATTATGAAAACTTGAACCTAATCTCACTGTATGCAGCTGGTCATGGTAAAGAAAAAGCATTATGCAAGCTGTCTTACATGACTCTGCCAAAGCAATTCCAAAATATCTGTGGTAGTTATGTGCTTTCAAGGTCTGGCTGACTTTTTAGGTGGAATTAGGAGGTCATAGAAAGTGGTGTGACCTCGTGATGTGGGAATTATGGCACTAGACTGAGTATCAAATCATACATCTCATCTTAACAAACAAAAATATAAAGCCACATGACAGAACACAGAGCAGGAAGTTTGAAATGCTCTGAGACTCATTTTTTTCCCTCAACTGTATTATTTTCTGTCACCTCATTTACATAAAATATTTCTCGTTAAACAATTTGCAAATGCATGTGATTTAATAGCAGGTATATGTGTGACAGAGGTAAATTTGTATTTAAAATTAAGAACATTACTAGCAGTAAAAGACAGCTGGTATACATCAAGCTTATTTTACGTGTGGGTCTTTGTATGGAATTTTGTTGGAACCAGTTAGTCTTTGACATGTTAGCTCATAGTTTATTTTAATTACAGAATATTTAGATTACCAGATCTTCAGATAATGTTTCATAATTATTGGAATTAATATAAGATTATCCAATCTGCTTTATTTTCCCTCCAGATATGTGGCTGTAATATTGGTCCCATATAAAGCACATATTATTTTCTTGCATGCAGCATATCAGGATAACCAGGCTGTTCTATACAAATGATCTAGTCATTAACTTCATTTCCATCTTAATGTTTTCTCCTGACTTTATCTAATTTTAATCTAGGTTTATCTATAGTTTGATCTAGGTTGCTCTTAAAGAGGTTAACTTGCATAGGGCCAAGAAAATGCATGCCTTAGATTTCCACAGAAGTGGAAGCGATGAAATAATATGATTTAGATGAGTAGTTTTGCTTTTGATTAAGAGACTGGATTGGATTGTTATTTGCCATACCTTCCAGTTCTATTCAGTGAAATCGCAAGTGATCATTTCGGTTAAGTTCCTAGTCTACTAAAAGGAGGAAGCACAAATAATCCTGTGAAGGACATTATACTGGAATATTTCCAAGAAAGTTTTGCAGATCCAAAGGTTAATTTCTATTTTTCTTAAAGCTTGGACATTGTTTATCTAACCTGAAACTTTAGTGGTTCACTCTTCATTGATTACATCATCTGCTGTTCTAGAGAGATTTTGCAAGAAAAGTTTATAAACATAGTTTTTCTCTACTGATTTAGGGTCATGGTATCTCACACAATGAACCTATAACTGTGAAGTATGCATAAATGTAATTCATACTTCTCAGTTTAGGAATGCCTTCAGAATCTTTATTATGAAATAAAGTGTTATCACTTGCACCACAGATAAAATAGTTGGAAAGTTCCAAGAAAAATGAAGTCGGCTTTTTGACCTGAAGCTTAAAAATCATGTCTCTTATGTATATAATCTATTAATGACACGCTCAGTGCAAAGACTTTCCTGGCACATTATCCGCTGACATTCCAAGAGCCAACTTCAGTTAATTAAGTTGAATACAACTTAACCCTAGGGTCAGATCTTTTAGAAATGTAGTTTCATTACTGTGCACACACGTATCCCAGTCCCAGTTCCAAATATATATATATGGTTCCCAGTTTATTTTTGGGAAGTGCAAGTGCTTGAAAAACCCATTTCAATTCATCTGTGATGAGCATGATCTTTAAATAAGAACTGGAGAGGCTTGCAGGAATTAAGAGAGTGGGTCTGCATGAGGTCAAGAGTACTGGGCTGACAAGCGGTGTCTCCAACCAAGAAACTTGGGTAGATGGTCAGATGGATCTCACAGAATAACTTGGAAAAATCCCAACAGACAGTAGATTGTCAGGAGAGGCAGGAAAGCTGAGTAGCAGAGACATGTAATATTTTCTTGCAGTTCACTGTCTCACCATTTTACTGTATGCACACTAAGGGCACAGTCACTAGTCTATCAGCAGAAGGCATTGCTGAGCGTCCTGCTAGAAGGCGTACAGCAGAATTATGGTCTTTTTGTAGGGTTTCTCTTTCTGTGCTGTGATATTTCATTGTTATTAGTTGTTTATACAGGAAGCAGGCAAGTTGTGCTGAATCTGTAATGAGGCAGCCTTTCTCTAGCCAGGATCTTGTCAAGCATCTTCATCTCTGTGTCTAGAGGCTTTTTCTTTCTCTCTTGCTTAAAGGTCACTAGGAAATCCCTATCCGAAAATAGGGAAGTCCCTTAGGAAAAATCCTCTAACACAGAGATACATCTTTGTATTGTAAAGATTATGTGCTAAAATGCATGCTAAGAAGCTACTTACTTCTACATCTCTCCCAATTGATCTCTGCCATCAGTGGCTTTAGTCTATCTCACTCGTATGTTTCACTTTTGAAAGCAAAACTGATTCATTCTCAGCTCTCTTTCGTCTCATGTTGTCGAGTTTCTCAGTTTGGAAGAGGATTACGTAGAAGTGGATTATTAGCTGAAAGATATGGGGGTTTCCCCTAAATGCATTAGTGTAAATGTTTTTTAACTACAATAGATATATCTGATAAAATCAGTTGTTCCAACAAGACACAACTTTACCCCTTCATTTCCCTCTATTTTGTGACCTTTTTTGCCCACATCACATTTCTGGTCTGACCTGGTAAATAAGTGCCCTTTCCATTTGGTTTTTGTTTCACACTCTCACACATAAAACTTTTCTATGTTTTTCTGTATACACTGTTGATTAAGATCTAGAGGGAGTTTTGTTTTTCAGACTGTCAATAGAGTAGAAAGTCTGTGATCTTGGTGTTTTCCCTTTAGAAGCTGTAAAAATGAAGATTCTGGGATTCACTTTTAGTATATCTGTAACCTACCACATGTCACTTAAGTTGTTTGCCTTTGTGGCTGCTCATCCCTATTAAATTAGTTCACACCAGTAGAGCTCCAAAGAGAAACGATGAGGGGTTTCTCCTTCGTTTCCTCTTACTACTTAGTGGAAAGGGCTCTCAGCTGCAGATTATATTGGTTCATTGGTTTCCTTACCGGTGTGTTTCTCCTCACTGCATGCCTTAATGAGGAACAGCCGGTCAGCAGTTTGGTGGGCAGTATGCTGAGAGTGTGCTCAGGAAAAGAGAGACAGGCAAGAGTAAAATAGATCCAAATAACTTCCTTTCCAACCTGCATCAAAATGAAGGCAGGAATTTTTGAATAAGTGTATTTCTAAGATTTCAAGATCAAGCTGTCAAAATGCCAGTCTCTGGAAGTATTTATGAACCTTGTCCTACTTTTAGGTGGTGTTTTTCTTCCTGTAAGAGCCAAGTCACTTCCTTCCCATCCATTATCAGTCATATTATTGTGCCTTACTGGCGAAATGGTGCCATGTAAGGGCATCAAAATAACACATGCTTAGTGTGATAATAATACTAGTAATGTTTCATGTATGAAATGGTTTTAAGGTGGAGTTTGTAAAAGAATTGTATGTGTCATTATTTCCTCTACCCCTTCCAAGTATTTCCATTCAGAGGAGCATTTAAGAAGAATTGAGATTTTTTTCAGCCACACACTTCTACTGCCAGTAACTTGATCCAGAAGTTTCTCACTGTTTTTCTTGCAAAAAACGCAAAATATCTTTATTAGGAAGTAGACCTACAGCGTAATTAAGATTGTAAAAATCATAGACTCATAAAATGGTTTGGGCTGGAAGGGACATTAAAGATCATCTACATCCAAGTCCCTACCATGGGCAGGGACACCTTCCACTCTACCAGTTTGCTCAAAGCCCCATCCAGCCTGGCCTTGCATTCTTCCAGGGCTGGGGCATCCACAGCTTCTCTGGGCAAACTGTGCCAGTGCCTCACCACCCTCATAGAGAAGAATTTAATATCTAATCTGAAGATATCCTTTTTCAGTTTAAAGCCATTCCCCCTTGTCCTATCCCTGCATGTCCTTGTAAAAGGTCCCCCTCCAGCTTTCTTCTAGACCCCCTTTAGGTACCAAAAGGCAGCTCTAAGGTCTCTCTGTAACCTTCTATTCTCCAGGCTGAGCAACCCTAACTATCTCAGCCTGTCTTCATAGGATATGTGCTCCAGCCCTCTCATCATCTTAATGGCATCCCTCTGGATGTGCTCCAACAGTTCCACAACTTTCTTATGTTGTGAACCCCAGAACTGGACACAGTGCTCCAGATAGGATCTCATGAGAGTGAAGTAGAGGGACAGAATCCTTCTACCTGCTGGCCACACTGCATTTGATGAAGTCCAGGGTACAGTTGGCTTTCCGGGCTGCAAGTGCACATTGCTGGGTCATGTTGAGCTTACTGTCAACCGGCATGCCCAAGTCCTTCATCTCAGGGCTGCTCTCAGTCCATTCTCTGCCCAGCCCATATTTGTGCTTAGGATTACCCTGACCCACATGCAGGACCTTGCAATTCACCTTGTTGAACTTCTTAAGGTTCACACAGGAACTATATTACAAGATATACTCAGGGAATGGGACAAAAAGATTACTGGAAAGGAAACTGTTTCCTGACTTCATGTATTAAGATCAGAATGGCAAA